GAAATGATATTATCAAAATGTGCAACTATTCTACAAAATATAAAATTTTAAGTGAAATTACATAAAATTATCCAGTTTCTTTGCTTTATTTTTAATTTTTTAATGATTTTTTTATTTTGTGCTAAACTTATGTCCAGATTTTTTTGGGGGTAGATGTACTTTGGAAAGAAAGAAATCTATCTGCATCAAAGTAGTGGAACAAAATGTAATGTGTCGTGATCCTCGAAGGACATGTGTTACGCATAAAAAAGAATTTGTTAAAAAAGTTAAGAACTATAGGAAATATTTGATTTTATATTTAACAGATACCAAATGTGCTAACCTCATGGCCGCCACTGTACATATTTTAATTATATGCAGAGATGGGGGTAGTGCACTAATTTTTAACTATCACTAATTATTAGTGGTAGTTCAAAATTATTCACTACTTTTATTTAAGTTTAGTGATGAATTGAAAAATATAAGCCTCACTCAACAATAGTGATAGTGATATTTAAAATGTTTAACTAAATATATTTTATAAATAGTTAAAATATTTGTTTTTACAGCCTAGTGAAATATTTTTTTCTACAGTAAATTATTAGTTCAAAAAATATTCCTGCACTATTTTTTTTTCAAAGTAGAAATGTTTCACTAAATTGAAAGTTTAAGTTAATAAGTCAGTCTAGAAATGGTTCAAGTCATGAATTCATTCAAGTCAATGAATAAAACATTCATTATTTACAAAGTTTCCAAGCTATTGCTGAATAAAAACATCCAGTAACAACATCATTTTGGCAACTGGCAACGCAGCTGAAGTGGCAATCGAGATACATTAATATATTTCTCCGAGGAGAGTCCACCATTCCGTTAAAAGAAAATAATCGTTCTACTGGAACAGTTTTGGAATTCAGGTGTTTCTTTTCTTTTTAAAGCATGAAGTATGTTTTTGGAGTAACTGCTTATGTAGGGTCCATTATAGTGTCGCCGCTATCAAAATCTGAATTTTCCATTTTAATGGATGTATCTTTTAAAAAAATAATTCATTTATTATCTTAAAAATTCTTTAAGTTTCATTAAAAAAAATTAGTCCAAAGAAAACTATTGCTGCCTTTTGTTAGTGACTGTTCAAATTTTTAACTATTTGAGTGTAGTGCTTTTTTCTACTCTATCACTCAATTGAGTTTTAGTTAAAAAAATAAAATTATCACTAAAAAATATTAGTGCTAAAAATATAAGCTTCACTACCACTAAACTGATGAAAATTAGTGAAAAATATATTTTTTGAAATAATATTTAGTGCTAGTGAAATATTGATTTAACTAAATATTTAGTGCACTACCCCCATCTCTGATTATATGTACTCGTAATTATTGTATTATGGCCGTCTATGTGCGACTATACTTTCTTGTTTTAATTCGTACATGTTAGTAAGCTTTGCCACTTTCAGAAATTATATATGTATAATTATTGCCATTCTCGAGATCGTGGTTCAGTTAAATTGGTACATAAAGCGGTAGCTCTGTCATCAAGAACCTACTTACATATTATAAATAATACTATTTACATCAACAAAATGTATTAATTTTAAATATACAACGCTGTAATAGATTTACCATGAAAAAATGTCTAGTATTTTGGCTTGCTATATTTATCAATAAAATAAACAGCTGTGCCACTTGGGTTATTATAATTGTAAATTTAAAAAAATATAAATTTAACAAAAATGTAAAACATAAATAAGAAAGTGAAAAAATTGTGATTAGCAATAGATGTTCTTAGATTATATAAGGAACAAGAAATATCAAAAATATGTTGTAGCAGTTTCACTAAAGCAGAGTTCTTTTTAATGTTTTGGTTAATACACTGTCGTTGAGTTGACAATTATAAAAATGAAAATAAAATATGCTCCAGAATATTTATATGAACAGCTAAATTATGTTGGAGAGGCACGGCAATACAACCTAAGAAATGTGCAAGACTATAGTTTACAGCGAGCAAGGACTTGTGCAATGCAAAGATCACTATTCTGGAAAGGATTAAACAAATTGTAATATGTTCAAATCAAAAACTGTAGAGCACTTAAGAATTAATATGTAATTTATTATAATGTATTTGTAATAGATAAGCATACTGAATACTAATAAAGATTTTATAATAATAATAAGTGAGAATTTATAGTCAAGAATGGCTGAAAATATGATACCCTACACCAACGATTATGTTAAAAATGTTGATAATTAAATTTTTACCTTAATTCTGAAAAATTTTAACAATTTGTTGACAAAAAAAGCGATTTTCTGAAAGAGGGGTTATACGGGGGCAAAGGGTAAATATGGTCCAATCCTTATAATTTTTGGTAGAGGAATTTACGTCTACATTAAAGTTTTTATACAGAATATCATCGTGATATTAGTGTTTATAAGTGAATTTTGACCATCAAGTCATTTTCTTAAGGGAACTTTGTATGGGGATAGGATCAAATGAGTCCCGACCATTACGAAAATCAGCAGTATCATTAAGACTTACTATATGAAACTAAGTTTTGCGAATTTTGGAGTGAACATTTAACATAATTATAAGTTCAAAATCCCTATTTGGGAGATTCAGTTGTATGGGGGCTATACGAAAAAAAATGGACCGATTTTAACCATTTTTAATAGGCTTCGTCAAGGTTTACATGAATATCGAACCAGATTGTTATACTTTCAGGTAGGTGTAGGATCAATATTTTTGGGTGTTACAAGGTTAGGTTACAAACGCATAATACTCTCCCCACTTTAGTGGTGTAGGGTATAAAAATAACAAAGCAAGTTAAATAAAAGCTTTTAAAAATAAAGAAAATTTCAATAAGTGTTGCTTTTATTTTGGTCAATACCGTATTTACTACCTTATGCTAAAACGATTAAAGTTAACATTGTTTACAAAGCACTTTTTCACTATAAAAGCAGGTTTTTATAATTATTAAAAAATAATCCATGCCTTTTATGTACAGTGCTGTGCAACATAATAGACTGTTTAAAAAGAAATATATTTGTTTGGATATATCTCTCGTAAAAATTATAATTTTAAAAATATTTTGGTACCATTGTTTTTGGTATTGTCAGTACTTATAAAAAAGTACTAAAAAAATTTTTCTTTCTGTTTTAGTGGTATTCTATGAATTGTGCATAATAATAGACTTATTTTGAAATGTTTCATCCTGGATGAAATTAAATACCAATGGAAAGCAATTTTAATTAAAAAATGATAATAATTAATACAGGCAATCCTAGTAAGTTCTTTAACTATTTTCAAAAAATGGGTTTCGGGATATTCAATTTTTTAACTTTTTGAAAAAATAGGTGTAATTATTTATCGTAAAATTATTTATCGTCAACTGGAAAAATCTGGAATTACATTGAATTCTATACCCTATACCATTATAATTTATATTATGAGAATCAGGTAATGTTAGTAAAAACCAAAAATAATAGTGCTTAACTAAGCTCAAAGGACTCCAATAGACTCAAACCACTTTTAGATTAATTACAGATCAGAAGTTTAAAGACATCTGGGAAAAATTTGGTACATAGCAAGATGAAAGATGGTTAGTTGATTGGTTACTTTTAGCCACATAGCCCCGCTTAAATACTCGTAAGTGCCTCGATTATGCAGCAATCGTTATAAAATTATTCCGGAGTATGTTTTAAAGATCCACAAATAATAGTTTTTTTAAAAATCGGACCGCATTTGACCCAATGCCTATATAAGGCTAATTTCAGAACAGTCTATAAATGAACTTATGTCGTAAACTAAATTTTATGATGATCAATATAAACCTAAATTCCTATAGACTTCCTTCAGAAAATCGATGGTCGTCTAAAAATTTTACAAATATTTATGAATTAAATAACGATAAATTTAATTCATAATTATTTTTCATCAGACTAAGAAAAAATTTATTTTATATTTATTTTTAAAAACTAACGAAAGAATATTAAAAAAATGCATTTTTCCGTTAAACCGAATTATTCTACTGCAGCAAACCGGGCTTTTTAACTCCGTAGCAAAAAACCGGTCGAAGAAAACCGGATAGTTCTCCTTAGTGAGAAGTATTCAATGCGTTTTAAACAAAAATGATGAGCACCTTGGTTCTAAATTTATATAATATGAATAAAAAAAATATTTTGTTTTGGTGTTTTATGAAGTAAAAAATAAAAAATAAAAAATAGTTTTAGAAAAAACATGTATTATTGCAAATATTGTATATTCAATGTAGTTTTTGAGTAAATAATTAAAACTTCAAAATAATATTTATTACGAAATATTTTAAACAAATAAAAATAAGTCTATTATTTTGCACAGCACTGTATATACGGAAACTTTCGTACATTGTACGAAATGCTTCGTTGTTTCGCACCACGAAATTGTCTTGAATATCTACGAAACTGTACGAAATATTTTAGTATAATGCAAAATAATTTTATTTTATTTTACAAAATATTTTTTTTAATTAGTTCGTTTAAAAAATATTTCTTTAATTTTAGAATAAAAATGCTGGAAGTTACGAAATATTTTTTTTATCACACAAAAACTTTTTTAATTTTAAAAAGTATTTGTAATTTCAGTTAACAAATTAATATTCATACGATTTCTTTGTATGTATTACATGCTTTATAAAATTAATTTATGATTTACGAACTTTTTTGGCGAACTTTTTTGATTTTTTACTTAAAATTATAATTGTATTCACTTTAGTATTCTCAAAAATGTTATTATTCTGCTTAAAAAATTGTAAACCCAACAATTTCAATCGACATAAAAAAAGTTTTTTGCGGCTGGTGATCATTACAGAGTATGCGGTTATAAACAGTAATAAACATTGTCACCATACAAATTATTTCAGGAATAGAGGTTTGTTCCAAACAAATCTATTCTTTATCTTACAAATGGTACTAGTATTTTTAATTACTATTTAATTTTATCTAATATCGATTGGAAATAAACCGGTTATAAATAAATAACTTCATAAAACTTACATATTTTCTGGATCAGTTTTTTCAATTGCTTGCACCAATTGTCTTGTTAAATTGTCATCACGTACTGATAATAAATTTTTGGATTCGCTGGCTACAAGAGTGTGGAACAGGAGCGTTCTATTTAATGATGATGTTGTATTTCCGAAAGATTCAGAAACTGGTAACTCACTCAGCACTATAGTAATTGAATATAAAAAATTTAGTAAATCACCAATATTTTTATTAGGCATATTCACTTACAGTCGGATAAACTCGTTAGACCCGCTAATGTAGTCACGGGTACACTGGGTACGTCGCGTTCACTCATGTTGTTTACACTTTTTAGTTTAAAATTAATAAAAAAAATACAATATTTTAAAGTCATGCACACATTCATCCATACATGTAAAGATGTACATTTGCATGTATGAAAGTAGTTCGTAAAGAAAAACAAAAAAGTCCTTACCTATGCAGACGTTCTGGTATTTTAAACGTTTACAATTATAATATATTCTTTTAATAGCATTTGTTTATGTCAAAACTAAAGAATTGTTTATTCAGATAAAGTAATTATATGAGATAAAATGTTTTTTTTCTAATTTTTCTTTTTAGTGAAATTTATCAAGAATCCAAATATTGCTTGCAAAATATCTTCTAACATTTTATAATTGCTTTATTGCATTTATGTATAATATTGACACATCCAATGTAAACCGTTTAGGGATATTTTAAAAGTAAAAAGAATATTTTAATTTTTACTATTCGCAAGAATAAAAACATTTAAATTCACAAAATTTTAATATTTCGCGACTAAATATTATAAATGGCGACGTCGATAGCAAAGAACACAATACAAACTTAAGTCACAGCAGCCAACTTTGAAAGTACAAAATATATCTGTCAAATCATAACATAGAATTTTTAATTGTTATGTTGTCGGCACTGGAGTATATTTAATTCTTAAACCAAGGCGAATTCAGATAAGGTGGTGTTATTCAATCAGCTGATTAGTTTTTTCTTCACTTGACTGGTACGCACTGATGTCAGAGTTTGTTATTGTTTACATATTTAAATTTAAAAATTTCCCTTAAATCAGAGAAAAACTTCGTTAGTTGTTGAATAATTTATGTAAAAAATCTGAAAATACCAAGCATTTTGTAAACAAATATTTTTCATATAATAATGAATAATTGGTACGCATGTACAAACTTAATATAACAATAATATTTTTTCTATTAAATGTTAATAAATTAAATAGTATTGTTTTATATTTTATATTTACTTTGTTGTTAACGCGATTAACCAAAAAAATTCTGTTCCGGAACCTTTTTATATAAAGAACCCACATGAGGTATTTACCTGTCCGGCGGCAGCCGTCTTCTACGTTGTGACGCGCACATATGACCATTACCATAGGGAAACGCAACTAGTACCATAATCCTCATTTTGTGAAAAAAAATCCAATCAATTATTTTTTATATTTTTAAATTTAATAAATTGGTAGTCAAAATTTATGTAGCTTTTGTTTGTTTTAATTTCTGCCATCTGTCAATACTCACTCGACATACAGAGGGCAGTCAGGAAGTTTTAAGGATATTCACAATAAGGTCACAAATGATAAGATGGGCTTAAACAATAATGTAACCTACAAGATCTTAGGGTGAGACCACGAGTAAGTTTATGTAATCGAATTAATTTTTGGAAGAACATTGAGTCGAATAAGTATAATCATTGAGATTACATTTCAAAGGTGAAAGTCATTGATCATTAATAAAATTATAATTTAAAGTGCTTAGTTAAAGCATAGTTTTTTGTTTAAATATATTTAAACTCGTTAAGTGAAAAAAACAGTTAAATTAATAGTAAAAGGGTAAGAGAAATACGTTAACTTTGTATAATTTCTTCTGGGCACAGAAAATTTAGTTTGAATCTATTTTCAAGATGAAAATCTTAGAAACAACTTGTTAAAAACAAGAAATTAAATTTCTGACAGTAAGAATGAAAATGTACTATAGTTAAACATACAATTTTTGTTGTAAGTTAAACCATAAGAAAAATTGTTGGAAACTAGATTTTGTTAAAGCCCATCACAATTTTTTTGTGCTGATGTAACAATTTTACTTTAAATGTTGAATGAAATTGTGTCACGTTACGCTCAAGGAAATTTTTAAGTATAAATAACGAGAGAATAAGGAAACGATTTTAATTAAAATTTGAAGGAAATTAAATTTATATCGAATCAAAATATTAATAGATATTATATATTGTACATAGGTTTATGAGTAAAACACCCAATTTACACGATGATTTTTTTTCATGTTTGCCCAGACGTCTGTTTTCATGTTTGTCGATGATTGGAGGTGAGCGGGGTAGAGAAGAATGGGGGGTAAGAAAACAAACATGGCGCAATTTACATGAAGACTTTTCAGACGTCTGTTTTTTCCAATTCTCTTTTGAGAATCTTCCAAAAAATCATGAACATTTATACGGTGATTTTTTACATGCAACTATGCATGTCTATTTTTGATGTTTAATTGTATAATCCTTTTTAATTACTTATTCGTAATAAAAATAAAATGAAATTTTTAACATAAAAACCATTTAATTTGATTTAAAAAAATTTAATTACACGCTATAGTATTTTTTTAATGCAAATTTTAATGTTTTCATGTAAAAAAAAGACATAATTATTTTTTTACATGAGCATAATATCAACAGTACGAATGAGTTTAAAGAGGAATGTCAAAAACAATCATAAAAATCCCAAATCATGTTTGTTTTCTTACCCCCCATTCTTCTCTACCCCGCTCACCACCAATCATCGACAAACATGAAAACAGACGTCTGGGCAAACATGAAAAAAATCATCGTGTAAATTGGGTGCATGATTTGGGATTTTCATGATTGTTTTTGACATTCCTCTTTAAACTCATTCGTACTGTTGATATTATGCTCATGTAAAAAAATAATTATGTCTTTTTTTACATGAAAACATTAAAATTTGCATTAAAAAAATACTATAGCGTGTAATTAAATTTTTTTAAATCAAATTAAATGGTTTTTATGTTAAAAATTTCATTTTATTTTTATTACGAATAAGTAATTAAAAAGGATTATACAATTAAACATCAAAAAAAGGCATGCATAGTTGCATGTAAAAAATCACCGTATAAATGTTCATGATTTTTTGGAAGATTCTCAAAAGAGAATTGGAAAAAACAGACGTCTGAAAAGTCTTCATGTAAATTGCGCCAAAGGCTAGTAAAACGAACAAATCAGAGACATCTTGTGGCGGAAAGGTTCACGAAGTTTAAAATTATATAAGCGTGGACAACTACCTTTTGGTTTAATTCACAATAATTTCACCAAAAAATCACTCCAACGGGGATATTTATATGAGTGTGAGCAAAGTTGGATAAGCATCGTTAACGTGAGTTGTAAAATACTGTGAAACACAAAATTGTTCGGAGAACAAATTATAAACCCTTTTACCTTAAATTTTGACCTTCCTTTAACCTCAATGACATTTAATTAACACAAATAACATTGACATTGTAATTATTTAACCTGATAAAACACATGGTGTAGATTTGTATGTGTGCTTGTGCATGTGAATATTATATTATTGTAATAAAAGCAAAAACATTAAAAGTACAAATTACTATTCAAGTCCGATCCTTCCTACCCGAACCGAAGATAAATGTCCAATTAAAAGAAAATATCATATATATAAGTACAAGTTAGTACGACTAAACTATTCGAGTTACTTCAGATCTATTTATAAAATATCATTATAATTTATAAACTGTTTAGAAATCACAAATAATAGAAAAAAATTATATTCATTATACCACATTGTTGCAATAAGCTTACATATAAAATACTAATCAATTTTTAATCGATTCGATTCCGTTTTGTTAAGCAGTCAACTTAACTTATGAAATTCTGCAAAATTAAATTATTTTATTTCCAAATTTGAATAGTGTAATTAATAATTAAATTTGATTATTTGATTATATTTCTATATATATATATATATATATATAATCAAACTAAATTGTATTACATCAATTGTTGACATCAATTGTTAAAAAAAATCGATTTAAATCCTTATACCTAAGAATAATATTAAATGAATTAAGTAAACTATAACTTGGATAAATAAACGTTTATTTCCCAATTCAATATTCAACACATTTATAACCCAAAAGAAAGAAACAAGAGGAAAATGGAATATTCATATACAAAAAAAAAATATAATGCTACTAAATGTTGATGTTATATTTTGATAATTAATTATACTTTTACTTAATAATTTCTATAGTTTTTTTATCTGGTCATTTCTTTGCAAAGAAAAAAATAAAATAAAACAAAATATTTTATAATTATATATGGTTAAGAAAAAAATTTGTAAACGTAGCTATTACTGTTTATTTTTTTTTAATTATTATTATTTTCTAAATAAAAAAACACTGTTTATACGGTATAAGATTTGATGTTTGAGTATAATTCTTGTCAATAAAATTATGTCTGTTTTTGAGTTAGATACCTGAAATCTATTGTATGTTATTTATTTTAATAATTAACTCTGTAAATATTAAATTTTTTTTATTCGGTTTTACATCGGCACGATAGATTTAAATGTGACCCAACTGCAGTGGAAAGAACCTACTAAATCCGACGAGCTAGCGTCGTGCAACCACCTGCGTGCCATCTCCACTTAAAAGTAAAGGTTCGTCACAACGTTATGGTAAAATTTTCAGATCTAAAAAAAATAATAAATTGTTTTATATTTACGCTGTGTATATAATGTGATTAACTAACAAAATTCCTTTCCGGAACGCTTTTTATAACAAAATCCATATGAGGTATTTACCCGTCCTGCGGCAGCTGACTACAAAGTATAAATCTTAAAAATTACTCCGCCGGAGTATAATTTTTCATTTACAACAAAGATTCTTTCATTCTGTATATAATTTTTCCATAAATTTTTAAATTTTTATGTTTATTTTTCCCAAAAATATTAATTTTACACAATTTTGGTCACAAACTTAAGTTTTGCAAAATTAATCTGCCGGAGCAGAATTTTTCATTTCATTCTTCCACTCAGGGTATGTTATCTTCACAAATTTTAATATTTTTAATTGTATTTATTATAAGATATAAAAATTTTACAAAATATTAATGAAAATATTGAATTCCCCGCAATTATTGTTTTTGACATCAGTGCGTACCAAATGCAAAAATAAATTACATGAAAAATTTTGTTGTTGCCGAACTGCCACCAACTTATCTGAATTTGCCTTGACTTAAACCAATTTTTTCTGAATTCACAAAAAACTTTCAAGTTAAAAGTTCACAGTACCATCTATATGTCGAATTTTTGAGCAGTCTGACAGACTAGTCGCAAAATGTGGGGTCAATATAGGTGAGACATATCTCACAAACTATAACATCTCACATATATACATAGATGGCGCAATATAACATAATATTACCAAAAACATAAATTGTAAGCAGAGCATAGCATACAGACAGTGTTTTCAGAAAAATTTTGACTCGTCCCCAATCTTAGGTTAGAAGTCCCCAATAATCCCCATTTTTTAATTGAAATCCCCATATTTTCCCCCAAAAAAATCATCATGATTGATTGCGAAATATCCCACTAAACAATTTTTGCCGAATTCGTACCGACAGTCTGCACAAGTTGCTGATTTCGTATCCGAATTCCGTCAGAATTCGTTACGAAAATCGTATGAAAGGTTGCTCGGAATTCGGAACTCTTTGTCTGAGGAAATTCGGAAAAATGTGCAGAGTTGTCGGTCAGAATTCGGTACGAATTCCTGGGGAAATTCTGAAGGAA